TTTATGTGTTATCTCTCTCTATTATATGTACCTTGTGGCTCTGCAGGTTGCTGTCCAATCTTGTTTTTGTGCTTAAATAGTATCATTTGAATGCTGCCTTTGATGCTTCATTTTGTTTAATATTTTCAACTTTTTGGAGGATAATATTGAAAGTAAAGTAGCCTATCTGTTTTTTATATATCCTGCCATTTAGCAATGAATTGAATCTTTTAGATGGTAGTGGAAGCACCTTTTCTATTATCATATATATCTTTGGACATGTATTGAAACTCTATTCCATGGTATTGCTATTCAACATATATATATGTATATATTCGTCTAGCTGTCCAATCTTCATTAGCCCCCATAGTTTTGCACATGGGCAACGGTAGATGGGCATCGCTAGCTTGACGATCTTGATCGGTGAGTTGCTCCTTCCATTTTTCTTGGTGGTTATGGAATTTATCTGCAATATGTCCTGTGCTTTTGTATGTCTGCTATTGCACTGCTATTTTTTTTTTCTACTCTGTGCTCTATGCCCTTTTTGTTGTATACATAATTACATATACAGATGTGCAAACTATATTTTTGCAGAATCGTGCCAGGAATCCAATGTCTGGTGGCTATTCTCAGCAGGGCTATCGTCCTCAGTCAAACTGGGGCCCGCCTTCTGCGCCACCCCAGCAGCCTGGCTATGGTTATATGCAGCCTGGGGCTTATCCTGGGGCACCGCCACAGTACGGTGCACCTCAGCAACCTTATGGTAGTTATCCCCCAACATCTGGTGGCTATCAGACTGGGTGGGATCAGTCTCAAAACCAACAATCTCATACAACCCCCCCTGGTACTGGGTATGATTATTACAGCCAGCAGCAGCAACCTCAACAACAACAATCTGCCCCTGGAACTGCTGCTTCTACTGATGCCACTAGCTACAATTATGGCCAGCCTTCGACGTATGCTTCACAAGGATATGATTCTACCTACACTCAGCAAAGTGGTGGGCAGCAAGCATATGGACATGATGGCTACTCTGGTTACCAGACCCAAGGGCAGCAGCAGGGCTACTCTCAGCAGACTGGTTATGACCAGCAGGGCTATGGTGCATCTGCTTATGGATCAGCTGCAAACTCGACCCAGGATGGGTCTGCACCCAGCTATGGTGGTCCTGGTGGGACCAATCAGGCATCTCCAGGGCAGCAAACTTCAACCCCAGCTGCTGGAAGCCACCCTGGCTATGCCAGCCAACCGCCTACTAGTGCTGCAGCAAGCTACCCAGCTCAAGGTTCAGCTCCATCTGGATATGGTGCTCCACCACCCCAGTCTGGCTATGGCGCCCAACCGCCACAGCAAGGTGGATATGGTCAGGGCGCTTATGGGCAGCCTTCTCCACAGGGCCAGAAACCTCTTGCATCTTCACCTTATGGACAGGCTCCACCTCCTGGATCTGCTCAGGGTGGTTACGGGCAGTATGGTTACAGCCAACCTGCTTATGGTGCACCACCTGCTTACCCTGGTGCACCCCCTGCAAGCCACCCGGGCTATGGCCAGCAGCAATCTTATGGCGATGCTTATGGTAGTGGAAGTTATGGGCAGCCTCCAGCCTACTCTACTGAAGCAACAGCTGCTGCTGCATCCCAGGATCACTCTACTGCCCCTGCTGCAGCCCCTGGAACAACAGCTGCGCCAGCTCCTGACAACAGTGGGGGCGCCCAAACATCTGCAGAAACTTAAGGTTCATCAGCTGATTGGGAGCAAACATTTTTCAAGCCTCTGCTATGTGGTTTCCTCTGCACTGTCGCATAATATTATGCATCTAGTTTAGGGTCCACATCTACAAGTTATATCTTTTTGCCTGTTGTTTTGACTCTTTGAAATTGCTATTTCCTTGCTAGTGATTAGTACTTCGCTGTTTTTTATTGCTGGCGTATATATTTGGACTGGTGATATATGTGCTTGTGTCGTTACTCTTGTTGGACCCTAGTGTCGTTACTCTTGCTGGCCCATCTTGTATCCTGAGCCTCATTTTACCTTAGTTATTATGTGTGCTGTAAACTTTCGGATGTCTATGAGCTGGTGATGGTTATGTATGAAAATTTGGTTTCAATTTTGTCGAAGACTCGAGTATCAGATCATAAAAGGTTTAAGCTGCATGATAGTCTGCTTTTGGTTTTTGCCGGTGATTGTTCTGAATCTCTAAACCTATATTAAAATTCTTTGGGGGGTTATTTTTGGATGGAAAAAGGTGGTTGATGTTTTGCATACTGTGTATATTAAAGAAGGCGATAGTAGATCGTGAGTTTCCCTTTGTGGAATTAAAACCATTAGCTATAGTATTAGTATGCTATTGTGTGCCGGGTCGCCATCTCATCCATTATCGCATCCGGTCGGGTCTGCGTGCCGACAGAATTGATCAATGGCTGTACTCGAAATATGAGAGTGCATGATTGAATATTCTCACAGGAGTCTATTAACTGTAGTAGTAGGGATGCAAGATGAGTTGTCCGTGAACCTGCAAATAAGCTAAAATTTTGCGGAACCCGCGAAAGGTTAACATTCTCAGTCTCGTCAGATTGGGCGACGAGGCCAAAGCCTAGCAGCCAAGGTTATCCACCCATGATCCAAAACATGTGGTCCATATTCGCATGATTTCCAAAGGTTGCTTACACGCTGCCAAAACTTGAGCAAGGTGTGATTCACACCCAAGACAGTTTGGTAAAGGAATGAGTCACTAACATGGTGTGAAGTGTGATGAGCAATTTGTTGTCACACAAGATCGTTTGATAAAGGGATGACGAATGAGTCGTGAGGCCGAGACGGCAAAAGTTGATGTTATAAATACCTAAGTCGATGAATGCAACAAGGCGGCTCATGTACTAGATTCAGTGTTAATATATGAAGTTCACATAACATAGTGTATATCTAAAATATCTTATAATTATGGAGGAGGTAGCTACCGACTAAAATCAAGAGCAACGATTGATTATTCAACTTCAACTACCTGCTGATCTTTCTACACTACTCCATCCGTCCCATAACAATTAGATAGACCATTAAATATATTTTTATAATAAATTTATCTGAAAATATAAATATTGTTAATATTTTTAAATTTAAGAAAATTTGGCTAGTAGGAGTCTAACTCTTATGGAACGCAGTACTATAGTTAGCTTGCGCACGCCTAACACGAGCCACACCGGCCATTCGCAGCACGCCCTGTGCCCCGCCTCCATCCAGGACGCAAGGGTTTGGGAACATAATTGTGTGTTGTGTTGTACTGCATGTGGCTGAAGCCTAAAGGCTCATCGATACCTCTCTTTCTACGTGTTTATTCCACCAGCTCATCTATACTGCTCCACTGCCGTTCACAGAGGAGCACAGGCAAACGCCCAAGATCGCCAGGTCCTGTGTACTCCTATCTGGCTAGATTGGGTGCTACAACTTGCGTTGATGTCATTGGAAGGGAGTTACCTAAATGGCCAAGTTAAAATAAGTATCATTGGAAGGGAAACTTTATGGGATATATCATTGGGTGCCTAAATGGCCAAGTTAAAATTTGGTACGCCTTGGAAAAATAGTTAGCATTTGCTTTAAAACGAAGTGGTGGCCAGCCCAGTTACATGCATTGTACTACTCCGTCTCATAATGAGTGCTCACTTCTTGAGAAGTCAAATATTTTTAATTTTAGCCAAATATATATAAAAAAATATTAATAGTTTGTTACATAATTAGTATCATTAGATGAATCCTAAATATATTTTATTAATAAACTTATCCGGAGATATAAATGTCACTAATATTTTCCACAAACCTAGTTAAACTTGAGAATGTTTGAATAGCATGAAGCCTATAGCGATATTCTTCTTGGGACGGAGCAAAAGAAAATTCATGTTGTCAAATTAATATAGTTGAACAAGGTCATCTACTTTAGGGTTTAATTTGATATTTATACTAAGCTATTCCCCATCCCCGCGAACCCAATGGGGACTAAATTTTCCCCATTTGAATCCCCATGGGGATTAAATCGCCCACATCCCCGTCCCTTAATAGAGGAATTCTCCGCGGGGAATCGGGGATCGGGTCTCCATTGCCATCTCTATTGGACATGCACGCAAATTATCTCCCAATCACCGCTACCGCCTCTGCCTTCCCACGTTACACCACGTTGGTCCCCCTCCTCTCTCCTAACTGGGGACCTCGTTGGTGGTAAGAGGAACGGGGACCCGACCCCTTCCCCTTTGTAGTTTTAGGTTAGGTTTGTTGATCCTTGTTCATCTAGGGTTTGGTTTGTAGTTTCATCGGCGAGGTGGATGCGATGATGGTGCTTTCAAATAAAGCCTACCTCGACGACGTTTGATCTGGCGTTGGCGAAGGCCTCGTGAGAGTTTGGTCCATCAGATCTATTGATTCTCTTTAGATTTTGGTATTTGGTCAGAAGAAACAATTGGTTGGCTTTCGATTCTTCAATATCAGGATCTTCTTTTGGTATGTTCAACAACGAGGCACGACATCTCGAACACTCTGTTCTGGTGGTGAAGGATTGTAAACCTTCGTTCTTTGGAGGGTTTTTTCAACCGATGTTCTTTTAGTGGGTACTAATCTTGTTACCAGTGGTGATTGGCTTTGCAATCTTGAGCCTTATTTGACAAGGGTGTTTGAAGGTGTCCCTTTTCTTTGTTGTTCTTTTAGTGCGATCTTCAAGTTCTGGCAAGTAGTGGATGATCAAAGGAAGAAGGCCGACTGATCTGACCTTTGATGTACTCTTGTTTTTCATAGATTGTTTTTATCTTGTTGTTTCTCTTTTGTACTAGTTTTTATTTTCTTTTAGATATATCAGACGTGAGGAAGTTTTTTTTAGTGCCTATCAAAAAGAAAAAACAGACCCTATTCATTCGCGGGTATTGGGCCGAACAGAGCTACTCGAACAAAAAGGCAAGCCTACAATGGTTTAGCTCAATCAATTCGAATTCCATTTATTGGGCTTGCTTTCTTGAGTTGCGTTCGGAGTGCGGTTCCCAACCATGGCGGCCTCCCCCACTTCCTCCCTCGCCCCGCCGGTGGTGCCTATGGAGCTCCACGCCGGCAACCGCGACCGCCTCGTCGCCGCGCTCCGCGGCCACCTCTCCGCCTCCGCCCGCCCGCTCCACGGCCTCCTCCTCCTCCAGGTCTGTTCCACTCCCACTCGGCACTTCCCTTTTTATCTCTCTCCTCGGATTTACTGATCTGATTGATCGTCGCGCCTACTTACTTTTGGAGTGTTTTCGGTTCTTCGTTATGTGAAGGGCGGGGAGGAGAAGACGCGGTACTGCACCGATCACCTCGAGCTCTTCAGGTACTCGTGCTGAACCCCAAGTGTTGTTTTGCCGGTATTTTTGGATGTTCATGTTGAGACATAAATCGGCCAATGTTGCAGGCAGGAGAGCTACTTCGCCTATCTCTTTGGAGTGCGGGAACCAGGGTTCTACGGCGCAATTGTGAGCTCTCTTCCTTTTGTTTCACCCCATTTTCCTAAATATAAGTGGATCCGGTTTCAGTCAATACAGCACCAAACCAGGCTTTCAGCATTCAGAGCCTGTTTAACTATAGGGCTGATAATATATGAAAGTCATAGAATCACTTCTTGGCATATATCTTAAGTCTGGTGATATTATTACTGCTTATATTTGTTGATGGCTTAGTCACTACATGACAACTGTTCCTATTAACAATACTCATCGCAGGGTCATGTCATGTTGATGACTCCTCTTTCTGCTTGTCATGTACTGATTTTTCTTTTGATTGTTGTCAAAGGACATCGCCTCTGGACAGTCAATTTTGTTCGCTCCAAGATTGCCAGCTGACTATGCTGTTTGGATGGGTGAAATAAAACCTTTGTCATACTTCAGGGTATTTTCCTCTTCTGAGTATTTGATTCTTTATTAGTTATGCTACATTCTGAATTAGTGTAATATATTCTTTCATGAATATGTGCAGGATACATACAAGGTCGATATGGTCTTCTATGTTGATGAGATTGCACAGGTTGTGCAAGATCGTTTCGGGGACCATGGAAAGCCTCTTCTGTTTCTGCTACATGGAAAGAATACTGACTCTGGAAATTTCTCAAAGCCTGCTAGTTTTGAGGTGCATGATGTGCGATTATCTGCACTGCCAAACAAGTTATGCTTGTTAATTATGTAACTTTTTTTTGAAACAAAGGCAGGAGCTCTGCTAGCTCAATTAAAACAGAAAGAATTCCAAGAGGACTAGCCAGCGGGATGCATTACCGATAGGCTAACCAACCCAGATTTAAAGCACTAACACGGCACACTACCATGGGTCATCGTTGCGAGCATTCTTAAAATGACTCCGACTTCTCATGGCGGTCCACACTGTGTTATCGAGAGAGCGAAGATAGCCGCAACCGGTCATCTTTAATTATCAAAATAATTCCGACTTTATCACGTCCACACGCCTCGCCTCTTTATCTTACGATGAAGGTGGGGGCTTTTGCGCGTGTCATTTGATTTACGTGGCAATGACTTCTTTTTATTCCATCGAGGCGCTAGGGGATGCGCGGCGAGAAGTTTGATACTGATCCAAAGTGGACGGGCTTTCACCCTTGGATGATAGTACAGAGGGATTCGACGCCCATTTCGCGAAACTTTTCGCCTAACTCAACACAATGCCAAAGCAAGTGATTAAATCTGATCTGGAGCTGTCCGCTCCACGAACGTAACCCTCATCCACGCCAGTATCCACGCTAATGATGTCAGTGGACCGGACCTCACATTGAGGTATAAACGGGCCGACTGACGGCGCTCATCTACCGCTTTTATTTCATCATCGCCTTGGTTTTTTAGCTTTACATCTAGGCAATGTTTCGACCGCCTCACGTTGTCCCCGCCCGATGGCCAACCACCGCCTACATTGAAAACAAGTGGCGAGCGGATAGGACAAACATTAGAACGCGGAGCCGGATGGCCTTGACCTAGGTGCCGCCGCCTTCCCTTCCATCTCGGCTCCAGCTAGAGCCTGAGCAAGAGGGATGGCAGGAGAGAGAGCACCAAGCAGCCCGACCGCCGACCATCACGACCACAGCCCGGGAAGATGTGGAGCAGCTCGGCAACCTTTTTAGCGGACCGGATCCGCGAGGGGATAGCAGCGGATCCGCCCTCTCTGCCGAGCAGAACGTGCCCCCACCACCGTCGGATGGGGCCTCGGCGCCACCAGCTTGCACAATGACCACCTGGAGAGGGAAAGCGCGAGGAAGAAAGGGGAAGGGAAGAAGGCCCCGCCGCCGCGAAGTGCCTAGAAGACAGAAAACTAGGCGAAGATGGAGCCAGCGGTGGCGAGGCGACAGGCAGCAAGCGGTGAGGAGGGGCTGGCCAAGGCGATGGGGTTCCTTGAAGCACGCCCGAGGAGCGGCAGGGGGAAGGGTAATTATGTAACTTTTAAGTGTTAGGCAACATACATTCCATTTTTTCATGCATTACTAATTTTATCAGATTTATCAAAAACTATTTCTTAAAATGAGGTACATACTGTGTTATCTGATAGATGTCTTTAATTATCAAAATAATACATCTATCTTACACTTTATCTTATGATTTTGTGCATTTGATTTACAATGTTTTTATTCCATGCTAGGGGATGGAGAAGTTTGATACTGATTTAAGTACACTTCATCTAATTTTAACCGAATGCCGTGTGATTAAATCTGATCTGGAGCTTGCTCTCATCCAGTATGCTAATGATGTCAGTTCTGAAGCTCACATTGAGGTATAAAAATTCCTATCTACTCTTTTATTTCATCATCATGGTGTTTAGATTACATCTAGGCAATGTTTCTAGGCTGTAACACCTTTGGAATGTTTACATTGAAAAGTGGAGAATATAGGAAAAACACCTAGAATAAATGTCTAGGTGCTAGGTGAATCAATCTTGCTCCAGCTAGAGCCTAGGTGCTGCCTAGCTCCACTTTTTCCCAATGGAGCACTTTTTCCTTTTTAGAGAACGTGCTATGCACGGGTTTCATTAAGAGGAGGGGAAACGATCCACAAAAGTATAGTAGTACAAAGAAACAGGAAACCGACCAGCATGTGAAGTGCCTAGAAGACAGAAAACATGGAGAGAGGAGACAAGAAAGAAAGAAAAAGAGAGAGATCCGAACCGCCACACCACACAGCTCAAACCACATTCGAAGTTTCGAACTATCGCTCCTAAAGCCGCAATATATCAGGCAAATAGTTGGAATTAGGAGGGGAAACAGAGCACTTTTTCTAGCTTGCTATTGTATCCCCAACTTCCCAGATGTCATTAGTTGGAATTCAATTTGTGTTAAAAAAAATAGTTGGAATTCGATGGTGTTTGTTTAATTTTGCTAGGGCTAGTCTTGGTCCAAGAGTTGCTATTCCTTTTCCTATCTCCTTGGGTTGTGGAAGTACAATAAGGGCTCTTTTGGATATATCATTCCCCATGGGGATTGGAGGGAATCTAGGGGAAATTAGAGCATTTCCCCCTCAATCCCCTCCAATCCTGGGAATGGGTGTATCCAAAAGGAGCCCTAAAGGTATTAATTAGGTTACTGAATAAGTAGAACAACTATTTGTAATGTTCTGTTACAAGGTCTAAAATAAAGTAAAACATCTGGCCACCTTATGGCACCAGGTTTTAACTTCCCTCTGCACAGAAATTTTCAGCAGTACGGCAAGGGAAGCACTATCTCAGCCAGTCATCAGTTCATAGAATCCCCCCCAAAGAGAGAGCCCATACTTTGAGTATTATGCTTACCAAACACGTTATAAAGTTACTGTTTTCTAGAGATACACTAAAATCCGTTCAAAAATAAAAAGAGATACACTAAAAAGATCTGATTTCCCTTTCACTTTACCAGGTTATGAGACGAGCAAGGCCAGGCATGAAGGAATATCAGTTAGAAAGTATCTTCCTTCACCATGTTTATATGTATGGAGGTTGCCGACATTGCTCTTATACATGTATATGTGCTACTGGAGATAATAGGTGAGAATGCATGACATTGTCTGTAAAATGTGGCTTTACTTATGCTTAACTACTATGGAAATTGGAGGTGTGCATGGACCATCAAATCTTATATCACTTTCTGTTATTGTTTCACTTGCTATTTCTGTTTATAGTTCAGATAACAATTTCTTCATCCTGTTCAAGAGCACAGATTTCTACTGATAGCATATAGCCTTTTTTTCGTATAAAGCCATTTTAACATCAGAAATCAACTACTAAAATTTCAGTAAGTTTTCCTTTCTTTTTCTTTGGAGAATGTAAGGTCTCTTTTTAGCGGTCACTTATTTTAAGTGGGGTATCTGTCATAATTTGCTGAATTATTCGAGGAAACATATAAAGTTCCGTATGATTACTTTCTGTAAGAAATAAACCATGTGACATTCATCAGGATCTGCCGTGAATCTGTTATCTTGGAAACTGGAACTTTGGCTTTCAGGATTAGAAGACTAATCTTTACACATGGAATTTTGTTACATTTGTTGGACTATCTGGTACATATAATTGTTCTGCCCTTTGCAGTGCTGTTCTACATTATGGACATGCGGCAGCTCCAAATGACCGGGTAGGAGGGTACTTGATCTTTTATGGCTTTTTCTTTACCTGGAGTTGGGTTGCATTTCTTTTCATACTCAGAAAATGAAACTTGATCCTTCAAACACTCAAATACCATGGATTTTGGAATTCTTATAATCCCATCTACTTGAGCCGGTGTTTGTTTGAATCGAAGCAATATAGTTTACTTGCTCTTTGTTAGCTGTAATTTGCTAAGTACTATGGAGCAATTTTCTCTTCCCTATCTGATATCTGTGCTCATAGCACTCATTGGAGTAGTTGAGTACTTGAAGCAATGATACGAGGAAAGTAACTTGGTTGGCATTTAGATTAATTGATACCCTATTGTTAGACAACTGCATATAGGCGCATGGGCCATTGGCCCATTATGGTTAATTATAGGTTGATTGATATTGTATTAGGCAAGGAGATCCTACGGTGGTCATGATTCTATAAACCAGCCCAGGGTCCTCCTTGCCTATATATGTACACTGCCTATTGCAACCTAATCAACCTATTGATTTCCATTGCCTTCACCTATGTTTTTAATATACCAAGTGGTGTCTGATATGTTCTCACTAGTTAGTTTGTAGAAAATATATGTTCATTTTCAATATTGAAGCGCTTGACATGAACATATGCACGATAATGGAAAGGTTAGGAAACCTTTGAATGTAGAATTTGCAACTGGGGAGGCATCAAGATTAAATGTATTAATGACACCATAATATTGGTTAGTAACGTGGTCCAATTTACATGTACTGGTGTCCCAAAAGAGCATGAGAAAGCCACTGCAATGTCAGATCCTGAATTCACAACAAATTATTTTTAGGGAAATACAGTTTCCCCTACTCCGGTATTAAGACATACATATAAATAAAAATAAAGAAAAAGCATCTAGAAGCGCAACAGAACTTCCCAACAGGCTATTCAGTCAAACAGAAAAGCTATGGCTAAGTGGCAACTTAATTCTGTGTAGTTAAGTGGGGTTACAAGATAAAATCCAATAAAAGACATCTAAACAATTGAGGCTGTTTGTGTGGATGATATGCTGTTCACCGCTCCTTTTATTTGTGTGACCGTGCATGTGCTTTTCTTTTTTGAGGGAGCTTTAACTTGTGTTCCCTCTTGGAGCTTACATTTCCAAGTTTGCTCTTTAGTACATGCTGTCTGATTGTCTCAAATGTTTTCAGATTTTGAATGATGGAGACATGGCATTAATGGATATGGGAGCTGAATACCATTTCTATGGATCTGATATCACATGCTCATACCCTGTAAGTACTTCAAAGATCGGACATCTAAGTGTCCCAAATTTCAGTGTCTACTATTTGGACTTATTTGTTCCTTTTTCCCTGTTAAAAGAATCGACACCACTGCATTGTGTATTGTGCTATAAACTGTTTTTTATGTGTCATCAGCTTCAGGATGTAGTTTTTATTATAAGATCAATGGTAGGGCATAGGGGGCACCTACCATGTTTTTTTACATGGTCTTAGATCTTGAATTAAATGCACAGAAGAGAGATCCTTTCAGTGCTACAACGCCTGGAATGGCTTCTATTATACGTTTATCTTAGCCTTTCATGTTAGACCATTGTTTATAGTGTAGCTTCTTGAGACTACAGGACAGGTGTTTCTGTTTCCCCTTCTGTACGAGTCTTACTAGTCTTTTGTTATCACATCACATAGAGCACTTTTTTCCCTACTGTTGTCACATGGAGTATGGTTGCTCAATAACAGTATCACTAGCACTCCTTTTCTCTACCTTTATTTGTTTGTTTTTCTGTTCTTTGTCATCAGATTATTGGTACTGAGCAAAATCAAGCTTATGATGTAATATATACATTGTATAGGTTCAACTGGGTTCTACCAGGTTTTTTTTTTTATTTCAATCATTTGTTTGAGGGTTATAATCCTGCTGGCATCTGTCAGAGGCACAGATCTTTAGCTTTAATCCTTTGTCTGTGACATATTTTTGGAATTGATTATACCTTTCATTTACACAGCCCTTGATTTAAACCAACATGGTTTTGTTTATCATGTCTTACTACAACATTTGTTTAGTATTTCCAATCTAATGAATTTACATGCTTTCAGATAAATGGGAAATTCAACAGCAGTCAGATAATAATATACAATGTAAGTACCTATTGTAAAAATCCATTTTATTTAATACTGTTTATTGTATGGTACTTAGAAACACATGTTCCCAGCTTTGTTCTTTTTGAGCTTGATCCACACCTTTCTGATTACTAAAGCAATTTACATTTTTTACAGGCTGTGCTTAAGGCTCATAATGCTGTTATATCACACATGCGTCCTGGAGTTAATTGGATGGATATGCACAAGTAAGAAATTATTGAAACATAATGGATATGCAATTTAAAACAAACCCCACATTATTCCTGGAGAGTCATTTAATTTGCAAGATGCATCTATTTAATGCATAGACTATTTACTTGTCATAGGCATACTTTAGATGCCCCTGAATCCAAGCAGCCTGACCTCACCAAGTGGGGGCAACTGCACCACCATCTGCTGCTCCTTGCTGCACACATTCCTGGGTCATGGCATTAGTATTCGTAATTGGCCTGACTTTTTGGATGCTTAATGTGGCTGTTATCAGTTTAGATCTATTTTAAAGCGTTTTCAGGACCTTGGCTTAATGTTTTTTTTCCCCACAATGGGAAACCCTAATTTCATTACCAATCAGCAACGCAACGATGTTTAAGATACGACACCGCAGAAACCGCATATGACACCTGGACAACTAAGCAGACAAGTTAGACATCACGGGCAGGCGCACGCATCCATGAAAAGCAAATGGAATCTAGAAACTACTCTACACTAGAGTGACTTAAGAGAGGTTATAGGTCCATCAGCCAACGCTCACAGCACACACAGGCTGTAATGACTAATGATATTAACAGCATCACCAACTGCAGAAGCTACTTAGTTGACAATGTTCTCCTGCTCATCCAGCCTCCCATCCACACGGATCTGCTGGTGAAAGTTCAGTGCCACCACCTTGAGCACCTCCAGGTCTTGTTCCATTGTTGAGCATGCCCCAGCTTCTGAAGTTGCTTATTCACCCAGATCACATTGCTTAGTGGTTGTTTGGATCTCAAAAATAAAGACCAGTTTTTGGAAAACATGTTTTAGGAGAGTTTTTAGGAAAAATGAATTTAAGGTTGTTATTCGGTTAACCACATGTTTATATAATTCTCTGTTTGGATATAATAAACCGAATGCCTTGAACTTATGTCTGTGTCTCGTCTTTTCACAAATTTCCAATGATGAGCAATGGCAACACGACACTCGACTGAAAGAAGGCAGCACATGACCTTCTGTCGTATGATCTTGATTCTACAGCCAGCGGCATGTGTGCGTGAGCACGATGTTTTGACACCGGTTTTGTTAAAAACGAGTTGCAATCAATTTTGATAAAACACAGTTTTCTACTTTTACGGAGAATCAGATTTACGTGTACCCGACTTTGCTGTGCTATCCAAACGGAGATCTAGTGGTTGTTAGGCCGAAACAAGTTTTAAGGATGATGGTTTTTGCAAAACAGACTATATCCAAACAACCCCTGTATTAGCTTATTTACCCAGATCACATTGTTTTCTTCTATATGGTTCAAGCATAGATCATCTCTTTCTCTCTCTTGCAGATTAGCAGAACGGGCAATACTTGAATCTCTCAGGAAGGAACAAATTGTCCAAGGGTGCATAACTTTTCACTGTGACTACCAAACTTCAACCCACGAAGCTATTTTTCTGACTAGTGTTCCTTGAAAACCATTTTTCTACAGGGATGTTGATGATATGATGGCACAAAGGTTAGGAGCTGTTTTCATGCCTCATGGTCTTGGCCACTTACTTGGGATCGACACCCATGATCCAGGAGGCTACCCTGAGGTCTGTCCACTCTTCATTAGACTATTACACTGTTTCCAGTCTACATTTGTTTTCTGCTTTCAATTGAGAGTAACGCTTGTTCCTAATTTAGGGATTGGAGAGGCCCAATGATCCAGGACTGAGCTCCTTGCGAACCACACGAGAACTGAAAGAAGGAATGGTTAGTTTACTTGTGCCACAAATTTAACATCTAGCAGTAAAGAGGAATAGCAGAATGCTGCTACATTATATGCTTCGTCATGAATTCATGATTGAGAATGAGATGTGGTGCCACCGTCTGATTGCTTCCCAGACAACCCCCCTTGCCAATTTTTTCTGTATTCTGCTCTGCTCTTTGTACACTTATCTTGGGTAGCCTCGTGTTGATTGTGCAACATCATGCACATTTGACATATCATCACCTGGCTATATGATTCATTAATTTCTCATGTTCAATTCTTCATAAACAATCATGAGGTCTCAGTTATCCATTGTGCTTGCACTATCTGGTGTTCATGAAATAGCTGCTCAGTAGAAAGTTTGGAATGATAATATTGAAATGTAACTAGGTAAAAGCGCTTCCCTATATGCGTGCAAATATTTGACAAGTGGCATTATTTGGTATACTTACCTTCATTGAAGGAAAAAAAGTTGTACCGTTGGAACAAGAAAATAGTTACTGTCTTTCTGTTGCTGCTGCTGCTGCTGCTGCTGATACAGTACTTTTGTGAGGGAGAATTGCAGGACAGCTGCAGCACACAGCAACCAGTGCCGAACATGCTCAGTATCTTCTTCTTAATACAGTAATATGAAATCTTTGAGCTTCTGTGATCTGGATCAGGTTATCACAGTGGAGCCAGGCTGCTATTTCATTGATGCTTTGCTGACTAAAACAAGGGATGATCCAATTTCCTCAAAGTTCTTCAACTGGCAAGAGGTTGAAAAGTATAAAAGCTTTGGTGGCGTTCGCATTGAAAGCGATGTGGTATGTCCTGGTTACCCCTTTTTATAATTACGTGGTTATTCCACAATATGTCTTTTTGCAGTAGCTAAGCAATAAATCAAATATTTTTTACTGGAACACCTTGAATATAAGAAACACAAAACTGATATAATGTGTGTTCACATATTGGTAAGCCTTTTCTTGCAAGCAACCTTGCATTGTTTTTGTGCTATGGCATGGATTACAGTAAAATCAAAAGGTACTTCTATTAGCTGAACAGTAAAAAGATACATTTGGCTATTACCACCAGTTCCATTTAGTTCTCTTATAGTTACTCCAAGTAGTTGGCATCAGGGTTATGGATCTGACCAATGATCATACTTAGACAATTGTTTCCAGGGATCTTGTATCTCACATTATGGTAATGGGTTAAAGAGCAGCATGATATTCTATTGCAAAAAGGGCAGACCCAGTGCCGGAGGCTCCCGCATGAGTGGAGTCTGGGGAAGGGATAAACCGAGACAAGCCTTTCCCCCGCAAAATCTACGCAGAGAGGCTGCTTCGAACCCACGACCTGGTGACTCAGTGAGACAGCTCTCACCACTGCACCAGGCCTGCCCTTCCATGATATTCTATTGCAATTTTCATTTTTGTTTACTTAGTTTCTGCTCACTTCAATTCCCCATTATATAAAGTGTTCATCCTCTTCCTTTTGCACACTAACAATGGCCTTTTTTTTGGTAGTATGTGACGGCTCAAGGTTGCCGGAACCTCACAAACTGCCCTCGAGAGACCTGGGAGATCGAGGCTGTAATGGCTGGCGCACCATGGCCTCTGCCAGCTTCAAGTTCCATGGCGGCAGCAGCAGAGAGTAGAAATGGCATATCCAAAGCATTGTAACTTTCTCCATGCTCAATCCATATCCCAAGTTGAACCAAATTCGATCTAGATTATATTCAATAAATAGTGAGGCTGAGGCTCAAAATATTGTTGGATTGATGATCAATAACCATTAAGGATGGAAAACATTTCATGCGCTCAGTTAATTTGTAAGATTTCTGTTATGTGGTTGAGATAGATGAGAAAACGTTTAGCTATTCAAATGCCGTGTTTTTTTGAGAGTTTCAAATGCATGGAATTAGTTCATCCTGGAACTGAAGAAGATTGGATAAAAAATGTTTCTGTTTCACTAAGAAACCTAATAGCAGCCCAACTGACAAAGAGCTCAGCTGGGTGCATGGGCCGATAGACAAGATGAAAAATCAGAGTAAAAATCTTAGTAAGAAAAGTTCAACGACGAAGAAAATTGTAAGACTTTACTTAAAAAGCATCTAGGCTCCCGATTTAGTTAGATGACTAAAGGCAATATGATTACTTTGTCGGTGTTTCGAACACGAGTGTCACGCACGGAGATCCATAATAAGTAAATTGTGGTAGTCTCGGCTAACATTGGCCCTGTTCGTTTCTCTTATAATCTGACTTTTTTAGCTTGTTTATTTTTTCAGCCAGAACAATGCTTTTCTCTCACGACAAATCAGCCGGAACAATGTTTTTCTCTTATAATGCGATCACTTGCTTCTCCAGATGGTGCCGAAGTTATACAACATGAATACCATAACATGGTTTTCCCTAGTTACACATGTTCTATATGAGTAGAATCACACAAAAACAGCAAAAGATTGAAGTGTAGAGAAGCGGCGGCGGACATCATCATCCCTAGGCTTCTTGAGCATATATGACGTAACCCGTCACTCGTCCCAACTCCCAACCATCATTCTCGAAGCCATATTCGGGCTCATCTCCTAAGTTATTTGAGTATGATTTGTACTGGCCAACATTCTACCCTCCATATTAAGATCACTACACATCTAGCTTTTTGTGGAGTAAAATTATTTAAAGTTTGACTAGATTCGTAGAAAATATTATCAATATTTGTATCTCCTAATATATGTTTATTAAGAAAAAAAATTCCATTAGTCTAATGATACTTATCTATCACATGTAGATCCACTGCAAGATTAGGTGTTCCGCTTGTGCCTTGATGTAAGACCCTTATGTCTATTTGTAATATAAAATATATTTCTTTGTTTAATAACATTGTTCTATTACTTATTTATGGCGTCATTGTATGTGTGAAAACTGATTTTTGGCATACATACGATGTACATCTGATTTTGTTCTTAAAACCGGGTGTAACATTATTCCGCATTTTAAATATTAATATATTTTTTATATATATTTGATCAAACTTAAAATAGTTTGACAACTCAAGAAACGAGATACAATTATGTTAAAACGAAGGGAGTATACTACAGAAAATCAAAAGTTATTGATGGCATGTAGGCCCCACCTCATATATGGCAGTTACTTTCAACTCCTTTATAGTATTGCAGACTTGCAGGATCTCTGTGCCAAAATTTGGAAAGCAATCTTATTGACTTCAAGTGTCTGTTTAGTGTCACATGGGATTTATGAAGGTTTGGAGCACCACAAATTACGATTAGACAAAACCATAATTTAACCACAGTTCCTTGACCCATAAAATGTGCACAAGTGCACCGAGGCAAAAACCAAATGAAGATGGCCCCGGGCCCTGTTCGCTTGAACTTATCCTACAATGTTTTTCTCTCACAATAAAACAGCATCATTCGGTTTATCGGCTATAAAAAAACATCAGCAAACAAACAGAACCCCCAAATATTCCAACCTTGATTGAATTCAACTAAAGAAGCTAGTTGCACTTTGAATTTCTCCAAGTGGTCAGCATTTTGGCCCTGCCAGCTGACATTTCGTGTATAGTTTTATGGTTCCTTGAGAGTATATTCTGCAGTTGCCTGCAGCGCGCAAGTTAAAGTTGAAGTTGAAGCAGAAGCATGGATGTTGAACTGCAAAAGCTTTAGGCAGAACAGTGGCTTGAATTGCTGTTCAGAACAGTTCCTTGTCCTTTTTTTTTTTTTGGTCCAAGTTCCTTGTCCTTTCTGCAACTCCAGAAACATGTGGTCTTCCCTGAAAGCAGCCAGGGCTGCTGCAAATTGGTTGCTTGTATTGTAGTGTAGGACTGTAGGGTCTCTTCTGTTATGGTTGTTGCCAGGTTTGGTGAGGTGAACCCATTTTCAATTGTAGTATATTCTAGTCTTGTCTTTTTCGTAGGACCCTTAAAGAATTGTTGGAAGATCATCTTGAATTCTGCAAACACCACATCGTGTATGTAGGATTCTTATTTTGCAAATTGAAGGTTCAATGTGGGACAAGATCTTTAAGTTTATTTACCCTTCGGGTTAGTTATAATTTGCCCCGCCCAATTTAACAGCTTTGATCTGTTTTCATAGATTTAGTAAAAAAGGTAACCTGTTGCACTTGTGTGCAACCTGTTGCACTTGTGTGTAAAAATGTGGGACAAGATCTTTAAGTTTATTTACACCACATACGTAGTCTCGTAGTAACCTGTAACCTGTTGCACTTGTGTGCATCAACATCAAGCTACACCAGAGGACAAAATGATTCGGAATTATGTAGCTTTTCTTTCTCCAGCTGTATTTTTGGCTCCTAGTGAACAACTTCCTAATTCTTTGCCTCCTTGGTTGATTTCTTCTGTAACGAACCAACCTTTTCCCACCAAATTGGCCAAACACCATGCTCCCAACTCTCCAAAATGGGACCTCTTAGGAGAAAATGCATCTCATCTTCCAACTCCTCTTCGACGACTTGACCACAACAACTTGTTGTATGCACATGTGTACGTGTGCAGTTTTGCAGAAAACAGAGAGTTCAAGTTGTTCACTGAATAAGTGTTAAGTAGGGCGTGTTGCTTGATGTATTCTACTGACAAGTCCATTTCTCGCCGCAAATGGCGGTTTCTAAATCCTTTTGTTGTTGAGAGCAATTTTACATCTTGTTTGATCTTTTTCATGTGTTGACAAGTTAGTGAAGTGGACATCAGCTATAATGACTGATCCCCCCCATGTTAATATGTTTGTCCAAATCATATGCTTTCACATCAGTTATTAGGCAATAAAAAAGTAGGAATTTTGCAGGGAATTATGGTGATGCTTGCTAAAATTCAGTTTGTTGTACTAAAATATATAATAAAATGGCACTTTGCTAGTCTTCCTTCTCCATGTGTGGATTGTGACATGAGAAGTGGATGTTTTAATCTGCAGTAGGTAATGACATATTGATATTGGTGATAGTAGCTTAATTAGCACCCTCGTTTACGACGTGTAATGGCCAGCTGGCTTGCATTTTTAATTTTGAAAATAAAGTACTACTCCTAGATTTTATTTGAAGTTCATCTCCACGTGTTCAATCTTCATCAAAACTTAAAGTAGAGAATAATGTTTTGATCATGCTTGGAAATCTAGATATTTAATTTGATCTGATTTCCCTAACTGCCAAATAAACAATTGTTACCTGTTTTTGCAAGAAAACTACAAAAAGAAAGAAAACGTTATTAGTATTTTTTTAAAAAAATCCTATATAAACCATTGTCATTTTCGGATAGGCTGGCAACCCAGCAGTTCCTGTCACCTTACAGTGCAAGCAAAATTGAGTAGAACCTTGCCGACTGCTCATCAATATTAATTTTCTGAGCTTGACTAGCTAATATATCCTAAATTTAAAGATTATTAGATAATAAAATCACTAATGTCTTATCAAATGGACCAAACTTGAGAAGTCCATCAAGTAGATCACATGAAATGTAGCTAACGACTTATTTGCAAACATGGAATACAATTTTCTCCATCCTCTTAATGAAATACGGACAAAATTGCAGTTCGCGAAAAAAAAATGAAATACAGTTTCCCCATCTAGCTAGCCCCTATAGATCAGCCAACTAACAAGGCCAGCCACTTCTCTTAATTAATTTCCCCATGGGTCTAACTAATCTCTCCACTACATTTGCTACATGCACCATGCATCCTAGAGCCTGATACTAGTACACAAGAACACAACAGCATGAATGAAAGCAACATTTGGTTTCCCCCCTCCCTGCTTCCTTTTGTTTCCCCTTTCTAAAAGAAAGTGTGACAGTAACAACTAACGAAAGAGATTGCCTCACCTAAAAGAAGAAGAAAAAAGCAGCATGAGAGAAACAAAGGAGTAAAAGAAAAAAAATGGAGTCTTTGATAGAGACTAAAGTATTAAAAATATAATAAAGAGAGGGTGCCCTCTCCTCTCTCCTGTGCCACCCATCCCCAGCTACCTCATCGTCTTTGGTACACCGTACCCCCCAATGATTTGCAGCTCATGGGTTTTATCCAAAAGCAAAAGGAAACCATGCATGCATGGGTCACTTGGCTACAAAGAAGAGCTGATACTGATAGGATGGGGAGAACTACTACGTGGAAAGAACAAAGTAGTAGTATACGTTTACGACTCACGAACGTGTTAAGACAGGTGTTTCATTTAAATTAAGAAAATTACACAACACAACTACAAAAGAGCTCTCATTAAACGATTCGGGAGAAACTAAAAAGCAAAAAAAAAAAAAGAAGCGACAAGAAATGGATCCTCAGCTATAAAACCCTACTGAGCTTGTGAGAGGAAAGATCATCAACACAATGGCTGCCTACAGAAGAGATATAGCCGCTGTGGCAAAGCATCCACCTAGGTAAAATGAGACGAGCATCTAACAATGTCGGCAGCAAAGCATTTGTCGAAGTAGACCAAAGCAACCTCAGTGGCAAAACATCTGCAAGAGGAGGGGCCAACGCGCTCTCGACAACAAAACATCCGTCAAGGAGGGGAATAGGGGATCAAAGCGACATCAGCGGCAAAGCATCTGCCAAAGAATCTAACGGTGACCAAGCATCCGTCGGGAAAAGAACAGTGAGTGGCAATGCATTCGCCACGAAAGGTAAACGACGGTGATAAGTTGATCACTACGGCTGGGATAGACT